CTCTCGCAGGCCACTGAGCTCCTTTTTGGGGCCTGGGTGGGGGAGGAGGAAGCAGGAGGAGGAGGCTCTGGGAGGGCCGGGCGAGCTGGGAGGGGAGTTGCCGCCCTCGGCATAAACAGGCGGGCGTGGGTGCGCATGGGGCGTGCGGGGCGCTCGGGCTGCGGGCAGTGAGCTGTGCTCGCGGAGCAGCGGCCTGGGAGCAGCGGCCGGGAGCAGCTGGCCTTGGCGCAGGAGGGGAGGCCTGCTGGGCGCAGGGTCCATCATGGCCAGTGGCAGCTGTCAGGGGTGCGAGGAGGAGGACGAGGAAACTTTGAAGAAGTTGATAGTCAGGCTGAACAATCTCCAGGAAGGAAAGCAGATAGAGACGCTGGTCCAAATTCTGGAGGATATGCAGGTGTTCACCTACGCTGACCACGGTAATCATTTGCTACCGTTCCTTTCTCTCCCCCTCCCTCCCTCCCTCCCAACCCCTCCTCCTCTTTTGCAAACTTTCTCCTCTGCTCTTTGCGCAAACCTGGACTCTTGGGAAACCACGAACTCCACTCCTTAGCGCAGAAAGCAGCTGAGAGTTCTAGGAAGGGCTTGAGGTGACTCCTTTGGCTTTCTCCCCCCTTTTCAGACTGAAAGGGGGTGCCACTGGGAATGGTGACTTTGCTGTTTTTTTTCTGCCCCCACCCCCTTCTTTTCCAGCCGCCAAGTTATTTCAAGGCAAAAATGTCCACGTGCCTCTGTTGATCGTCTTGGACTCCTATGTGAGAGTGGCCTGCGTGCAGCAGGTAAAGTTTTCATGTCCCTTATTTCCCCTTCTTTTTGGAAAGGGATGTTTTCCTGTCAGTTTTGCATACCTAGAGCTATGAGTCATTTCAGAGATTTGGCTTGATAAACCCTGACTGTGATTTTAAGATGGAGAAGGACTGTCAAATCATTATCAAAAGTTAACGGTGTCAAAGGACACCCTAGCTGTGCTCTCTAATTGTCTTTAAGAAGTAACTTTGTACAGTTGACTGACAATATGGGTGGTGGTGGGAGGTGAATAATAGGTTGAGGTTTAGTTCTGTTATTGGCTATCTGAGCTCATCAGTATTTAAGTAAAAGTTATCCCAACAATCCTGCCAATGTACAGCAGACTCCAGATGACAGGGCTATCTGAGCTCATCAGTATTTAAGTAAAAGTTATCCCAACAATCCTGCCAATGTACAGCAGGCTCCAGATGACAGCATTGTGAATAATTTTCGAAAATGGAACAACTAACAGTAATAAAATTAATAATAAATTAGTAAAATGAGGTAACTCACAAATTTTCAGAGGGTTAAGCTTTTTCAAATTTAAAGACAGATTTCTGTCTTTAGTTGTAGTATATCTTGTAGTGTCTAAATAAAGTCATGGTTTATGATTCCTCTATAAACTCAGATTTATACTTTTCAACTGTTTTCACATAAAAATGAATGTAGAAGTGAAATTTAGAATGTGCACCATCGGAAAGCCAGAAATTCACTAGATCTATTAGATATATATTTTTTGAAAAAGGAGCCCTAAGGAGATAATTAAGGATGATAACCAGTCAAAACAAATACCTCCTAACCTGTTAACTTCCTTTGTAGATTTAGAGATTTAGAGAACTGAAATCAGTGTTGTCATTTGCATGTAAGGTCCTGAGTGAAAGAGAATTGAACTTTGAACTCTATTGAGGTGCAGTCATAACACCTACTTGTGAGGCTAGACAGCTGTAAGAATTATCTGTATCTCTAATCTCTATCTCCTGCCTATCTCTTTATCCAGCTAGTCTCTCTTGGGTGAACATATACCTAGCTTCTTTTATATAAGGACATTTATATCTGAGATATATAGTTACTTTTGTTTTTCTTCAACTGAAATATTTATCATCTGACTATTGATGTTCAGGCTGTCATCTAATAAACTATGAAAAAATGGAGGCATGATAAAGACACTGTTCTTTTTATTATTTTTTTAAAAAATATATTTTATTGATTTTTTTTACAGAGAGGAAGGGAGAGGGATAGAGTTAGAAACATCAATGAGAGAGAAACATCACAAGGTACATGCCCTTGACTGGAATCAAACCTGGGACCCTTCAGTCTGCAGGCCAGCGCTCTATCCACTGAGCCAAACCGGTTACGGCGATACCGTTCTTTTTAGCGTCCAGTGTCTGAATGTCGTCCATGAAATATGAGTCATTTTTCAGCTCTGGCCCTTTGAGCTTTCAACCCACATCATACCCTCTTACTGGCCTGTTCTTTGGTGTTCAAAAGTCCTTGTCTCGCACCCCACCCCACTCCTTGAGTTCTGTGTTTGGTGGAGCCACATCTGTTGTGTGCCACTCAGAACAATTGGACCCTGGGTGGGCTGGGCTTTGGTCTGCAGGGTCCAGAGGAGGCAGTGCTAGACTTGAGAACCAAGGGGAGCCTGGGACAAACCCACCACCTAATTCTTTATTTTAGGAACTGCCTAAGCAGTGACAGAGCTGGGACTCAAGTCTTCACACACTTAAGAATATCTTCCCATCAGACAGTCCACTAGCTGTCTGAATTCACAAGCTTTTCGTGCAAGTAAAAATCACGGGCATTTGGCGCAAATATTGTGGCCACTCTAGACACAATGACATTATCAATTTTAATTATCAACGGTCTTATCAAAGGACTGCAGAAAGGGATCTCTCCCTGATAGTTTAATACTCCACTTAAAAGAAAGTGATGTGTTTTTTTCTTCACGTCTTTTTATATTACTTTTGCAATTAATATAGATATCCTTTCATGCTTTGTATGTTGAATTAGCTGGGAGTGCTGAATGAAAAGCTCTTAATGATGAATTAAAGGAGTTCAGGTAAATTGTTCTTCATAATAAAATATTAATGTTTCAAAAATTCATTTAGCATGATAATCCAGATTCTGAATTTTTATTTTCAAGGTCTTTTCATATTTTATTCATGCTCCTTAACAAATGACAACCTTCAGGGAATTGGTCATTAGGCTAGCTGTCCTAATTACTTTTCTCTTCCTGCCAGTCATCTGGTCATTCTCTGTGCTCCTCAATTTTACTTTACTTGTCTTTATCCACAGTTTTTCAACCTTTGAAGTAAGGGAGTGAAGTAAATGAAGGGGCCTAAAATTTTCTTTAACCCTCTATACCAGCCGTGGGCAAACTATGGCTCGCGGGCCAGATCTGGCCATTTGAAATGAATAAAACTAAAAAAAAAAAAAGACCGTACCCTTTTATGTAATGATGTTTACTTTGAATTTATATTAGTTCACACAAACACTCCATCCATGCTTTTGTTCCGGCCCTCCGGTCCAGTTTAAGAAGCCATTGTGGCCCTTGAGTCAAAAAGTTTGCCCACCCCTGCTCTATACTGTTTCCCATTGTGCTTTAATTAGATCTTTGAGTTTATAGACTAATTATAATAAAGTGAAGCTACCAATTTGATCTATATATATAAAAGCCTAAGCAACCGTCTGATCATCTGACCGTTCAACCGGTAGCTATGATGTACACTGACCACCAGGAGGCAGACATGCAACGCAGGAGCTGCTGAGCTGTGGTGACTTGGCAGCTGTGGTTCTCAGGTGACAGAACCAGAGGAGAGAGCTCAATTCTGGGGTGCATCACCCGAGAACCGCCCTCTTGAAATGCGACCCAAGAACCGCCCTCTCACACTCTGAACCCCTGGGGGATGTAAGAGAACTGGTTTGGGCCCAATCCCACAGGCCAGGCTGAGGGACTCCACTGGTGCACAAATCTGTGCACTGAGCTGCTAGTTGTATTATAACTGTTGGATGGGAACCTTCTCTCTTTGAAAGATAAGCTTTTAATTGAACAGGTCAATAGATCACTTGCTACCCATGTTTTAGGGCCAACAATTCTATTTATTGTATTTATTTATTTATTTAAAATATATTTTTGTTTTTTTCAGAGAGGAAGGGAGAGGGGGAGAAAAATAGAAACATCAATGATGAGAGAGAATCATTGACCAGCTGCCTCCTGCATGCCCCTACTGGGGAATTGAGCTTGCAAACTGGGCATGTGCCCTTAACTGGAATTGAACTCTGGACCCTTCGGTCTGCAGGCCGATGCTCTATCCATTGAGCCAAACCAGCTAAGGCCCAGAAATTCTATTTAATCATAGCAGCCCAGTTGCCTCAGTCTTTTTGCAAAGTAATTTCTGATGCTGTTGCTTCACCAACCAAAACAAAATAGGTTTCTTCTTGAAAAAGCCATGCAGCTACAGACATGAATATAGCATCCTATGTGATTAATGATTTATTTTCCACCGGAAGCTGTTTCAAATGTTATTTTCTTAAATACTTGGGGGAAAAGTCTCAATGTATTTTATGAAAGCACAAAAATAGCCGGTTTCTATGACAGCTGCATTGTCAATGTCTGTTCAGCTTATATGGAGGAGGGTGTCTTACTTAAGTATAGAAAAATAACTGTCAGAAATTGCTGCATTTTTGAATAATTTGAAAGCATGTAAAAGGAAGTAATGATGGAGTAAAGCAATTCATGCTTAATCCAGAAAAGATCCAGAAATGATATGGTGAAGAGATCTTGTGTACTTATTTTTATCTTGTGAAATACTCCTTATTCCTGTAAACAAGAATGTTGTACCATTGTTCCTTATTAGATGCACAGAAATGTCTCATCCTTGTCATTCAACTCTTTGCATCCCTCAGTTCCACTTATGCATCCAGTCTTAGAATGAAGATATATTTGAAAAGTATGGATGGACCTGGAGAGCATAATGCTCAGTGAAATAAGCCAGTCAGAGAAAGACAAGTGCCCATTTGATTTCACTCATATGTGGAATCTAATGAATAAAATTAACAAGCAAAATACAGACTGACTCATAGATAGAGATCAGGCCAACAGCTATTGGAGGGGTGGGGGTTAAGGAGCTGGAGGGGCAGAGGGACTGAGCAAAAAAGAAAAAAGAGAGAGAAAAAATGCATGGACACAGACAACAGTGTAGTGATTGGGGAGATGGAGGAGTGTGTAAGGGCGATAAATGGTGATGGATGGAGACCTGACTTGGGGTGGTGAACACACGTACAGTGTATAGGTGATGTGCTATAGAATTGTGCATGTGAAACCTGTATATTTTGTTAACCAGTGTCACTCCAATCCTATATAATCAATTTCATGTACTGGGCCTCTAGTAAATTTAATAAAAAGGAAAACAACCCCCACCCACCCCCCACCAAAAAAAAAGAAAAACACAGAAAAAAAAGCAAAAAAAAAAAAGCATCGGTAAGATAGTATTTCATTTGGAAATATGAAAGAGCCTAGGGACATTTTTGATGTCTAGACATCATCAGCTCATTTTTTAGATGTTCTAAAGAAATTTAGAAGGTTCCCTGAACAGATTCTACCTTCTCTCTATCTTATATTGCCTTTCTCTTTGTTCTGGAACAGATGTTATATTGTTATCAGACAATAATGCTGCTTTTCTAGGTCCATTACCTGGGATGCAGTCTTTCCTGATAACTCACACTTTGCCATAAAAATCTTCGACTTCCCCTAATCCTCCATTCCAAGCCACTTCACTTTTTCCTATTATTAAAATCCTAAATATTTCGAAGAAATTCTGTCAGGTAGATATGACTTAAATAATACTGAGGCCTGAGTATAGCCTCTCTTGCACTTCATAATCTCGCTATGCCCTTGAGAACTATTTGTTTGTGTTTTACTCTTTTTAATATTTAGACAACAGGCATGTCCATTTCCTTTGTCATTCAGAAAGATGTAATATTTTTTGTGTGACCTTCTGGTATGATTTTTGGAACAAGATGTATTGTAAGTACATTGCTTGCTTTTCTTAGGAAGCATGTTAGATTATCATTTTGTTTAAACATAACTATTTTAAAATAATCTAATCACCTGTCCTAGGAATGAAGATATTCACATTTGACTGAAAATGTTCCATTAGCATGTTTTAAAAAGTGTGACTATTTGGCTTTCTTGCTTTCAGGTGGGTTGGTCACTTCTATGCAAATTAATAGAAATCTGTCCAGATATAATGCAAAGCTTAACGGGACCCCAGGACATTGGATGCGATTGGGAAGTCCTTGGTATTCACCAGTAAGTATGACAGATGTGTCAAAAACCGCATTAAATATTTCTCTATACATATGACAACCCTTTTCTTGATACATTGTATTTGTAATCCAAGTCAATCTAGTAAAATTATTTAAAATACAAGGTTATTTATTTCTTGAATCAATGATTTACTTTTTTTGGCTTAATCTTCACCTGAGGATTTTTTCCCCATTGATTTTTTTTAGAGAGAGTGGAAGGGAGGGAGAGAGGGAGGGAGGGAAGGAAAGAGGGAGAGAGAGAGACAGGGATGTGAGAGGGACACATTGATTGGTTGCCTCCCACACATGCCCCAACGGGGGCTGGGGATTGAACCTGCAATCCTGGTATGTGTCCTTGACTAGGAGTGGAACCCGAGATCTTTCAGTGGAAGCATTGGCCAGGGCATCAATGATTGACACTTATAGAGAGCTTTCAGCTCAGAAGTATATTATCTAATTGAATAAGAAAACTAATATTTGAGGTAAAATGTCTGGAGTTATTTTAGTAAAATAAGCAATACAGTTGTACAATTGGTTAAGTTGTACAATTTTGATGACTACTTATGAATTCAAACCAAGAGACTTTTTTTTTTACTTTTAAATTATAAAACTGATAAAAACCACTAGTTTTTAAAAAGAGGGAAATGAAAAGTTAGTTGTTTGAACAGTAATTTAGAAGTTTATGCTTTACTGTTTTTAAGAAGCACATTTATGTATGCTCATACATATATATTTAATGAGCTTAAACCACAGCTTTCAAAATGAAAAGAAGAAATTACCTTGCAGCACATCTGCAGCCCATCTTGATAGCTGTTTTACTGGCTACATTATTGTAGTTTGCATCGTAATTACTTTGTAGATTAAATCACTTATTTAGCCGTAATTAGTTAAGAAAAAATGTTCCAAAGGAAAATCTGTTTCCAGGAAAATTCCTTTTAGATAACTTTGTTTTGTGACATTTAAAAACTACGTCCTGTCATTAACTTTTGTGTTCTTTGTTCTTAATGGGACTTTCCTGTAGCATAGAGAACTGAATACATATTGTTCCCAATGGCATTTTGCTTGTGAAAAATGTAATATATGCAAAATGAAATTTTACATCTTTGTGTTGTTTATTGATATCAGCGATAGCTGCAAATTTAGAAAAATAAGAGCTATTTGTTTACTCATTCATGCAGTCACTCATTCACTAATTGGATCATTCATTCATTTACCCTTCATCCATCAATTGTTTATTACACTCCTTCTTTAGGCAAGAAGTGTGAAGAAGATAGACACTGCTCTCTATAGTGGAGCATATTAGATAGTTCCCTGCAAAAGTTTATTGTAAAACATTTCTCCCTATATTCAAGGATTCCCCCCCCCCCCAAAAGGCTTACAGTATTGAAGAAGAAATCCCTTGGATGATGAAGTTCTGAATAGAGGGAATGGTGTAGGGAGAGGTAGGGATAGCGTGGATAGGAGAATCCACAGTGTTGAAGTATGGGGTCACTCACTTTCTCACCTCACCAACTGGAGACCATGTAACAAGTTTCTTGGATCTAAAATGAAGCTATGGATGCTACCTAACAATGGAAAGCCAAGCAGTGCTGGGTGGGAATAGACTAATGATTGCATATTTTAGAATTGATAACTCAGAGACTCAAATTTAATAAATACTAATTGAATATTACTGATATCCTAGGTTCACTTTCTATTGTAAAATATTATCAATTTCTTTTTCAAAAATAGAACTTTTAAATTATAAACCTAATATAAACCACTAGTTTTTTGAATATCAATAATTTGTATATTCAAAGGATTCTGAATTTATATATGCAAACTAACATCTTTATAACATCTCTCTATATTTTAAGACATCAATATGCATTACATGTATTTCATAAGTTTATATAATATAAAAATGGGCTTGATCTCTTGATGCATATAAATCTTCATATCTTAGACATAGAAAATCATTTATAATTAAATTTGAATATTTTGAGGAAGAAGTTATAACTTTTATATTGAGACTCATAATGGTTCCCTGTTGAATTGTCATAAGCCTGGCTCAGGTTTATAGGAAGAAAAAAATACATGAACTTCAGTATAGGGAATGAAATACAATGAGATGAATAAAATATAGGCGAATAAAAACAATAGCTAAAAAAAACAAATATCTGGGCATTATATTTCACTGATCTCAATTTCTCTTTAATTACAGGCTGATTATTAAAATGCTTACAGTTCATAATGCCAGTATGAACCTGTCAATGGTTGGACTGAAGGCCTTAGATCTCCTTCTAACTTCAGGTAATATATACACATATATTTTTAATGTTGCTTATTTAACAAATATTTTAAACCATTTGCTGTGTTTTAATGTTTTAAAGTATAATAACATAATATAACCTAAATATTGATGATCCCCAAATTCTTTGTTTCCATTTTTCTTTCCTTATCTCTTTTTCTCTAACCTTGTCTATCAAATCACACATAATATCTTGGCTTTTAATATTACCTTATATAGAACTATACCCCAATTTATATATCTAGCCCAGCTTGACTCCTAAAATCTGGTCTTACATCTCATATTCCCATTAGCTTGTGATCCAAACAGATCCTTGTCATTATTATATCTTTCTTCGTTATATCTTTAATATATTTTATATAATACTAGAGGCCTGATGCATGAAATTAGTGCACGGGGGAGGGGGGGTTCCCTCAGCCCAGCCTGCACCCTCTCCAATCCGGGACCCCTTGGGGGATGTCTGACTGCCGCTTTAGGCCTGATCAGTTGGACATCCCATGCACCGGGCCTCTAGTGATAGCTGCCCGCACTGGCCCCCCTGCCAGCCGGATCCCCCCTAACCACCTCTAACCACCTCTGCCTCTCTGCCTGCTGGCCTGGTTTCCCCTCCAACTCCCCCTCTGCTGGCCTGGTCACCCCAAACTACCCCTCTGCCAGCATGGTAGCCTCCAATTGCCCCCCCTGCTAACCTGGTTGCCCCACACAGTCTGCTGTTCAGTCGTCCCTCACTAACCCCCCTGCCTGCCTGGTTGCCCCCTGCAGCCTGCTGTTCAGTGGTTTGGTCATTCCTCACTAAACCCCTGCAGACCTGGTTGTCCCCTGCAGCCTGCTGTTCAGTTGTTTGGTCATTCCTCACTAACCCCCTGCAGGCCTGGTTGCCCCACGAAGCCTGCTGTTTGGTCTTGGTCGTCCATCTGGTTGTTGCAGTTGTGACGGCCCCTGGGTTTTTATATATTAACACGTTGTTTGCTGGTAGTTTTTGTCGCACACTAACAGGTGGCGCAGGCCATTTTTGCTAATTTTTTGCGATAACTTTAGTTTACATGTTTATATGTTACCCGCATTCTACCGCTAGTCTATAAAAAACGTATCCCGCATCTATAAAATATGTGTCCCGTGCTCTACTACCAGTCAACGCATAACATATAAATACGTTTCCGACATGCAATGTGTTACGATAATATCTATAATAATAAAAGCATAATATGCTAATTAGACCAGACGTCCTTCCGGGCGACCTTCTGGATGAAGCCGAGGCTGCAAGGGAAGCCTGGGTCCTGGGTGCCTGCTGGTGGCCAGAGGGAAGCCCAGGCCCCAGGTGCTGGAGGGAAGCCTGGGTCCCGGGTGTGAGAGGGAAGCCGGTGCCGGCAGCCAAGGGATGGAAGGCTTACTCTTGCATGAATTTCGTGCATCGGGCATATAATAAAATATAATTAATATAATGTAATATAATATAATATAATATAACATATATTTTTAGAATATGACATAATAGTAATATTTAAAAAATATATAACATTGCTTCTTGAGTGCTTGACAGATGCCATGTTTCACTTATGAAATACTTCCCATGGCTTTGAAAACATAATCCTCAAAACATCTCTTGAGATAGGTGCTTTCTCTCAGTTTCCTAGGAAAGGAACACTGAAGCAGAGAGGTTGCCTCATCCTGTAAGCAACAGAATTAGGGTCTGGTTCCACATGTCAGGTTCTTTCCCTGAGGAAACTTCTGTCCGGATCAGAAAACAAAGACTCTTCATATTTGGAAATAGTTGGGCTCATTGCTGCGATGGGTGCCTGCTCTGATAGAAGGTTCTCAGAAGAAAGGCTGGTACAGGAAAGCGAATCAGGAAGGGTAGGGAGGCATTTCCTTCCAAGTGGTGGAGGGTACTTTAGGTCAGGAGAGCAGCAGGGCCAGAGTTGAGAGGCCTATGAGGATAGCACCGTAGGGGCTGGACCCATGGGTCGGACTCCCTTAGTCTTGAGGACCCAAAAGGAGAGGGAAAGGAACAAAGAAGGTAAAGATCAGAGTACAAGGGAAGAGGGAGAGGAAAGGCCTGAATATACTCCCCACTTCACCACAACCTTTTATTAAAATGTGTAATGGAACCTCCTAACGATTCTCAGCCATGATTTATTTTAAACTCATCCTTGGGAGCTTCTTTTTCTTTTTGAGGGGAGAGGGGTCATGCTCTATTTGGCAGTGGACAGGAAGCTGCTGAGGGTTTCTGAATTTAAAAAATCTACCAACACTGGACTATATAGCAGTGTGTGCAGCCATGTGTTTTGAAAAGACTAGTCAATTTAATTTCTTCCACCTAACTTTCATAATTTTGCCCTGTAAGGCAAGTTTTTAATGTGTTTTCAAGTTTATCCCAGATAGTTATTGAAGGTTAATTTATGAATCATGTTTATTGTTTGGCTTATTAGCTAGTTGACTTAATAGTTACTGGGTACTTCCTTTGTGTTGGAGAACTGCAAGAGAGATAAGGCAGGATTCCTACAACATAGAAATATTGGACAGCTCAGCACCACTGTCCAGTATTACATTTTGAAATGAAGGAAATGTTGAATATCTATACTTTGTGATATCATGGCCATATGGTAGCTGTTGAACATCTAGAATGTGAGAAACTGAATCTTAATTTTATTTAATTTTAATTAATTTAGAGTTGAAAAGCTAGATGTGCTTAGTGGGTACCGAATGGACAGCACAGGCAGAGACATCAAGGGTATTTAAATAAATAATTTCAATTTATTAAGAAAAGCACTACAACATGGATATGAAGAAAACCAGCATAGGAATACAGAAAAGAGAGCGCTGAACTCATTTGTGGAAGTTAAGACCATGGACAGGAACAAGTTTAATCCAGCCCTGCCTCTTATTAGTTGTTGGACCTTGGGCAAAGTCACTCTCAAGTTTCTTCAGTTTTCTTACTTCAGTTTTCTTATCTCTCAAATGGGGATTGCCCCTACCTTGTGGGGACTGTGGTGGATTTACACGTGGTAGCAGGAAGTGCTTCAACCCGTATCCATCATGCTATGTACTATACAGGGTTTGCTACTACTGCCACCGCTTTCATTCCAGGGCTACTGTTTTCATTGACAGAATAGGTATTGTTAGTGTTATTTCTTGAATTATGGTAGGAGCATGTTGGTGATGGAAAAGGGCAAGGAACTAGTGCAAGTGCAGAGGGATATCAAAGAAAATGTTTAGTGATCAGTAAGGAGTTTAGCATGTTTCGAATCAGCAATGCATGGAGAGACATGGGGCTTATGAAATAAAGCAGCCAGCAGCCAGTTTGTGAAGAGTCTTGTTTGTCAGACTGAAGGGTATGATAAGGCCTTCGACAGTTTCAGCAAGAGGTTTACTGAATACCTTCCCTTTGATAAGGTAAGATAATTCTTTAAAGGGCCACTATGCATGACATAATTGAATTATTAGTTCCTGGTTCTGTAGGTTTATAGTAGAAGCTCTATATGTCTATTTCCATTTCTTGTTTCAAAACATCGCATGACATAAGGAGAAGTACCAGAGGATGTTAAGATATTTTTCAATAGAAAGTATTAGAAATATCATTCAAGGAATAAATTAAGTAGAAATTTGGGCCAGGCCCAGCAATTAAGCAATTGTATTTGCATTCCAGGTGAGAGATGATGAGGTCCTGAATACAATAGGCATGGAAGGGCCTAGATCATAAGGAATTTTCAAGATATTTAGCAGATAGATTAAAAGGACTTGGTAATGAGTTGATTGTTTGGTTGGGCAGAGAGTATGAAGAGAATGTGAAGAAGGAAGATGACCCGGTGGTTTCTCTCTTGGGTAACTATTGGGTGATGGTATCATTGATGAAGATAGGGAACCGGAGTAGCCTATGTTTGGGATATTCAAATAGTGTTGTCTAAGAGGCAGATCGAAATATGTTTCAGGAATTGAAGGCAAGATGTCTTGGCTACAGGTATATAGAGCCTGATAGGTCTAACATCTGGGGCAATTTCGTGGTTTATCAAAAATAAAAAGCCCACAAACCATTTGTAGTCCTCATGTTAAAATTAACACATTAAATGTTAAAGCAGCTGTTCACTTGGGACATATTTTCTCTTCATTATAGGTAAAATCACTTTGCTGATATTGGATGAAGACAGCGATATTTTCTTATTAATTTTTGATGCCATGAAAAAGTTTTCAGCCAATGACGAGGTCCAGAAACTTGGATGCAAAGCTTTACATGTGCTATTTGAGAGAGGTATTTTAAGATGTCAAATTCTTTATTTTTATATTTATATAAGAGATTTATATAAGAAAAAGAGGTTTATAATGGGAAAAGTAGAACATAATTATGATACCAAGAAGGTAGGTACTATTTATTAAGAGGTAGGCGTTGGCAGTCTTGGATGAGTAATGGTGTTCATTCAGAAATATTGCTTGCTTTTGTGGAATGAATTTTATTCATGGGCCATAAATTATGTAATCATAGTACACTTTCTTCCATTGCTTAACAAGACATAAGGTTCACTTTGCAAACCAAATGTGTAGGTGTTAAGAAAGAAAAAATAAAACTGAAGACAAGCACAGGTTAAATTTGGGTTTATGACGTTGAGTCATCACCGGAGATTTTAGAAATTGGTAACAGCTCTGCATTACAGACTCAGGAGGTTTACAAAGTGCCCCTTAGGAAAAAAGCCCAATAGTTTTTTTTTAATCAGATGGCACTGAGATTGATAACAGAAATTATCATGTAATTTTAGAGTTGTTCGGATCCTTTCATCCTTTCACTGGCCGGATGGGGAAATGGATCAGGTGAAATGAGCAACCTGCCTGAGGGCACACAGCTAGCTGCCATCATTGCAGTTCAATTTACCACTATATTTTGAGAGCAGCTTTTGCATCATTATGAGAGCTGACTGTGCTGGAGGTTTAGGATGAGAATAATTTATGTGGGCCCTGTGTTCTTATTAGTTTACCACTCTAGTGCCTGGCAGCTCCAGGAATAGGATAGATCACCTTATACTGTTGAATTCCATCTCATTCCAGGAGGACTTTAAACAGCGTATAGATATTTATACACACTAGAGAAAAAAAATGATGAGGAAATGGGTGAAGGGAAAATGATAAGAAAATGATAGGTTCAATTTACTACCTACCTCAGGTCCTGTGCATTTGCAAAGTATTGGACCAGAAATGTGGCTCTTTGCTTCCTATCTGGCAAAGAAAAGAGGTAAACATCATTGGTTACAAATTTACTTGAGATAAAAGAAAACTCACTTATGAGGACAGGCAATGGGTCTCATGAGAGACCTGAGAAATCATCCCAAAGGTTTCCTTGGATGAGATGATAAAGTACACACAATATGCAAGGAATACAAAATGTATTTCAGTGAAAGGCACTCTGTCAAGGGTCAGAGCAGCATGGGCCGCTAGATGATCATGCTTGGGGAGAAGAATTTGCTGTGAGTAATGAATGGAAGAACTGCATGTCTTTTGGGCTATCTTCTATAAATGTTTTATCTTACAGCAAGGCTGCTCCACAAAATGAAAGGTTCATGATACTTATTAGAAGAACCTAATTTCACATTATATTATATGGGCTATTGGTAAAAAGCTGAAAAACAAAAAGTAATATGGATCATGAAGAGTGCTGCATTTTCTAACATTACCAGTGCTTTGCTCAGTCTGGATAAATCAGATTTTTGTACATGTGTTTGAAGTTCCCATCCAATAAAACAACTCTAAATGGAACTCATTGGCTTGATCAAGAGACTTTTATTATGAAAATTAATGATAATTTTTGACTGCTGATGAAATCAAGACCATTAAGACAGAGTGTTTGAAAGTCTAATTACTTGTCATTTGCTGACATTCATTCCTCTTGATAGATTTAGCTGAGCTGTCCTTCAACAGTTACAGTTAACCACTCCCTTTTCAGTATTGTGGTATGTTTACTTCCCATAGGTTATCTTTATTAGTCATTGGTCAGGATTCTCCCAAACCCCCCAAATGGAACTGTAAATAATTTTGTTTTTCTGAGAACTGATGACTAACACTCTTACATTTGAAATCGCGGAGAGTTTCAATTCCAGTCAAGGTCACATGCCCGGGTTGTGGGCTCGATCCCCAGTTGGGGACTTGCAGGAGGCAGCTGGTCCATGATTCTCTCTCATCATGGATGTTTCTATCTCTTTCTCTCTTCCTTCCTCTCTGAAATCAATGAAAATATATTTTAAAAAATTTAGGAAGGGCTTTTTTCTGATATATAGGAACATATCTCTATTGTATTTATTGTGTCTCGCACAACTATCATGAATATTATATTTTTGATTAATTAAAAATTTCATGTCATCTTTAAGCTTTTTCGGTATTTTGCCTTTCATTTTTTAGTTTCAGAGGAGCAACTGACTGAATTTGTCGAGAATAAAGATTATATGATATTGCTAACTGCGTTAAAAAACTTTAAAGATGAGGAGGAAATTGTGCTTTACGTACTGCGCTGTTTACATTCCCTAGCAAGTCCTTGTAAGTAGTCTATATACATGATTTCTTTTTGTGTGTGTGAACAATCACAATATATTTTTTCCTGAGTGTGTTTTAAAAATATTTTTATTATTTAGAAACTTGTGGATGCTGAACCCATTCACTTATTTATTCATTTAATTGGTTTTTATTTATTGATGCTGTACTGGAGTTGGCTGTGGGCTTGGTATGGGGAAAACTGTTAGTAGAAAATATAAACATATTTATTGCCTTTTTGGAGCCCATAGTACTATGAGATACAGATAAGTACATAGGTGACTGCGATGTATTATAAGGCAAGAGTTGGCCGAAGTACCTTGGATTAGGAGAACAAACAGTGCATGAGGCATGATCTCTCAACAAAGACTTGAATGATGAGAAGAGCTTTTTTGTGTTTAGGGAGGTGGAAGTGTAGGCAAAGTGGCCCAGAGAGGGGGCATGATAAGTATAGCTTCCAGAGCAAGAGAGAGCACAGTGCATTTAAGAAGATAAAAGTAGCTCAGTAAACTGTGTGTTTCAGAGTGTGTATGTGTATGTGCGCATGCATGCGTGTGTGTGTGCATGTGCGTGTGTGTGTGTATGCACATGCACAGCCCCAAGTGTGTGTTCGGGTGTCATTTAATGGAGGTGGTGGCAGGGCTTGATAAGAGTCAGTGGATAAGAATAGAGACATAGCAAGATCTTAAAGGACCCAACAGCCACAGGAAGGAGTTTAAACTTTGTTGTGATCTTGTTTAGCATTTTTTGATGTTTTGAAAGTATTTCACATATATGGTATTGTACATAAATATGCACGCATGGTTTCAGACATGGAAATCTGCAGGTCTGAGATTTCAGTAAAAACCCCGGTCCCTTGTGAAAGAAAGCCCTTTCTTTGTGATGGTTTTAAAATCCATCATTTTTTTTTATCCCTAGGAAATTAACCACTTGGAAGTAGATGGGGCTGAGCAATAATAGATAATGGACATACTTTTAGATTTCTCTGAGTCATCCACTGTCAACAAACTGAATATATTCTTAATTTTACTTTTCCTTGGCTATATTTATACATTTATTTATCTACCAGAGGCCCGATGCACAACATTCATACAAGAGTAGGCCTTCCTTCCCCTGGCTGCTGGCACCGACTTCCCTCTGGCACCCAGAACCTGTGCTTCCCTCGCAGTCCCAGCTTCGTCCGGAAGGACATCCGGTCTAATTAGCATATTATGCTTTTATTAGTATAGATTTGGGGCTGGCTGCTTTTGAAATTCAGTGTTTCCCACCCACATCTGCCATAACCCCAGGGAAAATGTGTTGATTCATAATGTAAAGGTCAAAGACAGTAGCAAATTTAAACAGTCAGTGTTTTGAACATTGATGGTACTTGGAAGACATTTACCATTGAGTCATAGAGAAAATCATGTCTGCTATTCTGAGTAAATGCAGAAAATTGTTTTAAGAGGCCGTTTTTCTTTCATTTTAACATGTTTTTCCATATTTAATATTTTTAGTACAACTTAAACATAAAAATATATTTTTTCGGAAAATGGTTAGTTTGGCTATGCTGAAAAAGAAATAAAAATACTTTGCAAACATCTTTTTTTTTGTTTTAATAATAGTCAACATTTCATTCAGCCATGTAGTTTTTTTCCATATAGGTTCTGCTCTCATACTCCCTCTCTCTGTTAATTAACTGCCTTTCCCAGTAGATTCTTTCCTGCCTTTCTGTTCACCAGTTTTTGGCCCTTAGACATATAGTTTAGTATGCTGCCTCTCCTCCCCGCCCCCACCCTTTGTTGCCTTGCACACTGGCTGTTCTGCTCCCCTTCTGGAATGGACAGAAAATTGCTTTTAGCTGACTTTAGCTGTTTAATTATGGAATGGCATCTTCATTTTTCTTTTGTTGATTTGAGGAAAAGGAACAATTAAAAGCCTTTATCTGATATACTAGTGCCTCATTAGGGACTAGGCCCTAAATTCACTTATTGGAAAATTTATGGCCAAGGCATTATATTTTTATGTAATAATGATATTTTTATACTTATATAAAAACACTCTCAATTTCCCTTTTATCTTGTTTAAGTTTTTAAGCCAAGAAACAGGAATAAAGCAACTTTCCTTTAATGCTAGAGATGAATCCTAAATCCTATTATATTTGCAATGAACAGCATAGTATTTTTATAGCTGTTTGACAAAACACGGTATTTAAATTTGGAAATGTAGCCATTATGCTGCCAGAGATTTACAGTAAGAAGTCTTGGTATGTGTATGTACGAGGGAAAATTCTTACCTTAATGACGATTAGGATTTCTCTAAATTTAGGCAACAATGTTGAAGTCCTCATGAGTGGCAACGTCAGGTGTTACAACATTGTGGTAGAAGCCATGAAAGCATTCCCTGTCCATGAAAAAATTCAAGAAGTGAGTTGCTGCTTGCTCCATAGACTTACGTTAGGTGAGTTATAATTCTTGGTTCATTTATTATCACAGTCTCTATGATGTAAGTATATATAACATATGTATATCTTATGTTGATGGAAAAGTAACATTCTGACATATGTTAGATGGAAATACTGTAAAATTATAAACTGTCCTGCCATGTTTAGGAGGAATTTTAAAAGTAGTGGCAGAAATAGATGTGGCTAAGAGAAGTCTTATTGTTAGTGCAGTATTTAAAGTATCTTTATGTAAAGAGTTCACGTATAAAGAATGAGAATAATATGCAGAAAATGTGAAGCACAAGGCAAAAGGACTCTCCAGCCAACTTGGATGTTAGTACATTGCCAGTTTGATAAAAGCTGCTCTGGGCTCTTTCTTTCTCTGCTTTCTCTACAGAGGTTAAGACTATCCAGAATTTTGTGTTGAAATATATTTTGGTTTTCTTTAATCATTAATCCATAGCTATCATGTGTTTTGTATCTGAGAATTCCAATATGAGAAGTTCTTGGGAGTTTAACCTTAGTGCTTCTGTGCTGCCAGCCTGCCACAGTCTTGTCTTCCCGTATGCTCGTGAGCATCTCTGATTGAGCTTAATCTCTGCAAATACTGAAGATCTAAGTTACAGATCCTCAGGACTTGCAGGAGTTAGGGTACAGGACTGATCTAGGAGCACTTCAGAATCGTTTTAAGGTCCCAGCTGGATGTGGGGGACTCTGGTTGAGCTACCCTACCTTGGAGAGAGTCTGGGGCTGGTCCGTTGATCTGAGTGACCCATACTTTCCTACAAGGCTACCCTGGCTAGTCCATTTCCCTTCACCTCACAGTCCTTGTTTCAACTTCCTGTTGAACCTCCCTACCCCACTCCTCCCCAACCCATCTTCCAGAATCATTTAAAGCAGGGGTCCTCAAACTTTTAAACAGGGGGCCAGTTCACTATCCCTCAGACCGTTGGAGGGCCAGACTATAGTTTTTTAAAAAAACTATGAACAAATTCCTGTGCACACTGCACATATCTTATTTTGAAGTAAAAAAAACAAAACAGGAACAGATACAGTATTTGTATTTGCATGTGGCCCGTGGGCTGTAGTTTGAGGACCCCTGATTTAAAGGATCAATAAAACAACAATATTGTATATAAGACATGACTTTGGAAACTATGAAATAAAAGTTCAAATATTAAGACATGTTACCACATTGCCATACCTACAGATGAGGCTCCAGTTCAGCACGTCTGTGTGTGCCACCCAAGTCTGTGTGTGCCACCCAAGATCATGTAGTGAGTAAGTGGTGAAATCAGGCTGCGAGCTGGGATTTCTGCATCCCCTAAACAAAAGCATTTCTTCTAAGATGTAGTAGCCATTTACTAGTTTATCATTTTTTATCAGGTGAGATTTTTATTTGTTATGTTTCATGAAGGTCATAATCTTCATGAAGATCTTGCTACATGATATTTGACAGCATTTTAATGTAATTCCACTGTTCATTTCTTAAAATAGACAATGGAGTACCATACTAACATGCAATCCTCTATTTCATGTTCTCCGATTTACCACAGTCAAGTTACTGCTTGCTCCACTTATATTACAAATCTGAGTTCACCTTAATCCCCGGTAATGAATCAGAGGAAATGGTTTCATTGTTGGGCGTAGGGAAATGGTACTTGCTTACCAAATAAGTCTGTCATGGCTCATGAAGGGTGCTCAGCATTATGCTATTGAAATTAAATGAACCAGAAAAAATAGCAAATCACTAAGTTTTGTGTTGTTCTGTAACTTTTTGAAAATAAAAAGCCATCAAATTTATCTTCAGATAAGGATGCATTTTTCTCTCTCATTGATTTCTCAACAGGTTTAGTATGTGTTCCATTTAAAAACTAGATAATTTATTGTCTTTGTTATTGTTTCAAAAGAAGCTGGATAAAACTTTTAGCTTTCTCTTCATAATTAAAAACTCAAAGTCCAGATATAAATACTTAGCATTTTGTCAAATTATGTAATCTAATTAGGGGTTTAACGCATTGAAAGCCTTACATAATTTACTATGTACTTTTACAGAAATTATCTGAAAATAAGATGGGGCCAGTCTTACTGGTATTTGCCCAGTCACAGAGCTGGCAGTGGCAGGGGAATAATAGTAGAAAGAAGAACCAAGTTTAGGCAAATGGATAAAAGTAGAAGAGAATCTTTTTAAAATGACTCCAAGACCAGAGATCACGAAGGGCTGGGAGCGTGTCTGCTTAGTGGGTGCATCTGGAAGAGGCAGAACGTATGATCGTATTGGTATCGAAGAGCTATGCCTGGTAAAGCTACCTTTTGATTTTGAAAGCACTGGTTGCTATTTCGTGTGTTTTAGGTGTTTTATTATATAGGATCTTTTCCAATTCTGGCTTTGTTTCTCAGGGATCGTTTAATTACGCTTGCGGCCAAATAGGAGTGCCATTCTTACTTTTAGAAGGAAACCTGGCAACGATTAGTGAATTACAAACAAGCTGAATGGAAAGAGGCGCATCTTTCAGGAATTATCATTTATTTTTTCCTCTTCAGGATTTAGGTTTTTTGAATGATGTGTTGATTCTTGGAAGAATGAGTGTAAAAAGGTGGGGGACTTCTTTTGGGTTGGGTTAAAGTTGTTGAAATATTTGCTTGGTTTTCTTCTAGGATTTCCACAGACAAGATCAAGTAATAATAAGTGTGCCAATGGATTTTCTTAGCAGTGTTCCTTTAAGCGAAAGAATGATGTTTCAGCAAAAGCATTTAATGACAAAGGAGGGCCTTAACACCCCCCCCCCCCATCTTTCAGAAGACAGGAAAATTAAACTATTATGTACAATGAATTGTAGAGCCATGTATAACAGACACCTCATTGTTTTCATATAATGATGGCATGAGAGGGAGTCAAAGAACACAAAGTTAATATCACCCAACCATATTATTTTTGCCCAGTCAGTTCCATTGCCTGCGTAAGATTATTGAATGACTGCATGAAATAAATTTTCAAAACTTAATGCCATCATATTAAGCTATTTTAATTAAGGTAAATGTATGTTTTAATGTCATTAAACTATTCACTACTTAAATTTACTGGTTTAAATACTGTTATATAATTAAAGTTAATTTAAGTTCTCTGAGTGAGAATACATCTAATATTTCACTTAACTTTCAGGTAATTTTTTTAATATCCTGGTATTAAACGAGGTGCATGAGTTTGTGGTGGAAGCTGTGCAGCGGTACTCAAAGAACGCAACGTTGCAAATCGCAGGGCTCAGCTGTTTAGCGCTCCTCAGTAAGTAACTTTACTAAAAAGGAAATTCTTACAGGTACATTTGATCCTGACTATTCACATTATAACAAGATAACATCACAACAAGAAAGTCATATGTAGAGAAGGACCCATTAAGTGCCCTTTCTGTCCTAATGTAATTCATTTTCCAGTAGAGGATACTTTCAAGGGGATTAACATTTCCCAAGTTCATACACCAGTACATCTTTGACGTGACTTTGTTATGGGGCAGCTAATCTTCATTAATCTTCCTCCAGTCCATTAGTTTTGTTTGATTTCCTCTTCTTCATTTGGCCAATTAGCTAGATGGGATAGCAGTGTCATGAGGTGTGTGATATATTATTAAAAAGTTCTTTATAATTAACCAAAGCCGCTACTAATGAATACCTCACTATGTTTGTTTTGTTTCAAAATATGGACTTAGAGCTGGTTGTTCAAACTGTAAGTAAGACATATATTTATGTTCTTTTCAAGCTGAGACCATTTTTTTAAATCAAGACTTAGAGGTAAAGAATGAAAACGAGGAGAATGAAGATGATGAGGAAGAAGATAAATTGTTTTGGCTAGAAGCCTGTTACAAAGCCCTAACTTGGCATAGAAAGAACAAGCATGTGCAGGTTGGACTCCATAAAAATTACAGTTATTCAAAATCGTTTGTTCAATGGTTTATGTTTTGACAAGTTTTTTTTTTCCCCTCCCCTAAACCAGGAGGCTGCCTGCTGGGCCTTAAACAATCTCCTTATGTACCAGAACAGTTTGCACGAGAAGATCGGAGATGAAGATGGCCAGTGAGTTGTTTTGATTTTATGTGTTTTAGTTATATTTCTAATCAATGCATATAAAATACCATCACTGCGAATTTCATTGTTAGATTTTTGATATAGGCACATATGTTTTAAGTCCCTTCACAAAATAGTAGTGGATATATAATATTGTGATCCCGTTGCCTTCAGGAATTAATAAAAGGTTGTGTGTTTGAGTTATTACTGTGACATTTGGAGTCAAGAGTCATCCAGTAAACTATGAATCATCAAGAAAGAACCTTATAATTTTATGGCTGTTCATTTGAAAATGCCATTTTAGCCTGGCTGGCGTGGCTCAGGGGTTGAGCATCCAGGAGATCCTTGTTAGATTCCTCGTAAGAGCAGTTGCCCAAGTTGCAGGCTTGATCCCCAGTAGAGGGCGTGCAGGAGGCAGCCGATCAATGATTCTCTCAATATTGATGTTTCTATCTCTCTCTCCCTCTCCCTTCTTTTCTGAGATCAACAAAAATATGTATTTTAAATAATGCCATTTTAAATAGTCTCAGGTGATAAAAATCGCAGTCACCTGTGGCCTTTTTTGTTGCAGTGGCTAGCCAGCAGGTTGTCACTATCAGGAGTTAAATGTGTTTAGAAGACTCCTGTAGTGATTCCCTACTTGATGTTGCAGGGTTGACCTGCCTTCTCCTGGGAGCATTTTTTGTAGCTGATACCTCTTGAGGAGGCTTTCTATGGGAATGCTAGTCAAGCCTCATAAGACGGACCTTCTTTCCAAAGATACAAACTGTAAACAGGAGATCTGTGTATATCGGATTTGTATCAGGGCCACACCCATGTCTTGTGGCAGCTGCTTACATTTGTGCTGTTTGCTCTCAGTATTTAAATGACTTATCTTGGAAACTTAAATAGTAATATCCATTCCTGATAGCCCATTTGCATAGTGACCCACTGCCAATTAGAATAGAATTAATAACACACTGCTATTTAATTAAACATCTCTATTTTGAAAGGAAATGCTAATCCTGATTTACCTTGAGCAATCTTTCCAAGAGGTTTGGGTAAGGTAGATTCATGTTGCAGTTATAAATTTCACTTCATAGCACACTGATTTGTCAATAGCCATAGGAATCTTTAAAAGAAATACATTATTAAAAGAAAATACCTGTGCTCTGTATTTCAAAAACTCACACTGCTTCTTTACAATTTTTTGTTTTTCCTTTCTTGCTTCCATTATATCCTTTTTCTCATTTTATCCATTTTAATATATATATATATATATATATATACATAGATAGATAGATAGATAGATAGATAGATAAATAGATAGATAGATTTTGGAGAGGAAGAGAGAGAGAGAAACATCAATGGTGAATCAGTGAAACAAGCTATAGGGAAGGAAATATTTTTAAAGGTGGAAAGGGGGTAGAAAAAAAGAAATTATTAGCAAAGAATGCATTGTTTGGGGCAAGATTGCCTTCCCAAGGGGAACAGAAGGGGCCTGTTGGGTGGATTATCTCTCTACTGATGAACAGGCAATTCCATGTTGAAGTTTACATTCCTGGGAAGCTGAAACTACTATTAGGTTGAGTCTTTTATTAAAATATACTTTTTTATTTCAGAAAGGAAGGAGACGGGGAGAGAGAGAGAAACATCAATGATGAGAATCATTGATTAGCTGCCTCGCGCATGCCCCCTACTGGAGATCAAGCACACAACCCAGGCATATGCCCTGACCAGGAATCGAACCTTGACCTCCTGGTTCATAGGTCGACGCTCAACCACTGAGCCACGCCAGCCAGGCTATCTTTCTCTTTTAAATCTAACCACTTCTTCATAGATTTGCTAAGTCTTTTTCCCCCTCTACTGCTTATCAACTTTGAAGACAGAAATACTAATTTATTAGCATTTAATGGATTTAAATCTAACTTTTAAATACATATAAAACTGATTACCCATAATTCACTCTTGTAAGTGGAAGTGACATAAAATATGTAGATGCCCTTGTATTAGAGGGAGTAGAGAAGTGAATATTTGGGATCATGATTGGAAAGATTAACATTGTGGTTGAATTTGTGCAAGGTTCCCAGCTCATCGGGAAGTGATGCTCTCCATGCTGATGCATTCTTCATCAAAAGAAGTCTTTCAGGCATCTGCGAACGCTTTGTGCACCCTTCTAGAACAAAATGGTAAGGGGTACACCATCGTTTTTAATAAAAAGAAACACATTTTGTGTTTTTTACATTATATAAGCAACACATTGTTAAAAATGTCATATGTATATATCTGATATAGATAGTAAGTATATACATGCATCATGTATATTATACATCTCTCTATATATACATATCTGATATATAGGTAAAAAAATGAAGAAAATAAATACTTTGATGTGTTTCTTCTGGACTTCTCTGTATGTACTCATACATGATATAGACAAAATATTTCCTTTTTTGCAGAAATGGAATCATATACTCTTATACAGACAAAGTGCACATTTTTTTGTGTTGATAAACATAATTCCTTACATTTTCATTTTTTAATGCCTGGATAGTTTTCCAATGTATGCCATTTTCTATTTTATGAACCAGTTTCTTTTTAAAAAAATCTTTATTGTTGAGATTATTACAGATGTCCCTCTTTCTTCCCCCCATAGCTCTCCTCAACCTGGTTTCTGCCCTACCCCGCCCCAAGCCTTCCCCACTCTATTGTCTGTGTCCATAGGTAATGCATACATTCATATAAGATCTTTGTTTAATCTCTTCCCGCCCCTCTCCCTTTCCTTTGAGAATCATCAGTCTGTTCCATTTCCATGCCAATGATTCTATTTTATTCACCAGTTTATTCTGTTTATTAGAGTTCTTATTTGTTTGATTTTTAGATTCAATTGTTGATACATATGTATTTGTTGCCATTTTGTTGTTGATATTTTTATCTTCACCTTTTTCTTCTTCCTCTTCTTAAAGAATACTCTTCAAAATTTAATATAATACTGGTTTGGTGGTGGTGAACTCTTTTAGCTTTTTCTTGTTTGTGAAGCTCTTTATTTGACTTTCAATTCTAAATGATAGCTTTGCTAGGTCCTTGTTATTCATCACTTTGAATATTTCTTGCCATTCCCTTCTGTCCTGCATAGTTTCTGTTGAGAAATCAGCTGACAGTTGAGTGGGCAGTCCCTGTAGTCCCTGTAGGTAACTGCTTTTCTCTTGCTGCTTTTAAGATTCTCACTTTGTCTTTAGCCCTTGGGATTTTAATTATAATGTGGCTTGATGGGATCCTCTTGTTTGGGGTTCTCTGTGCTTCCTGGACTTGTAAGTCTATTTCTTTCACCAGGTAGGGGAAGTTTTCTGTCATTATTTCTTCAAATAGGTTTTTAATATCTTGCTCTCTCTCTTCTTCTGGCACCCCCATAATTCGGATGTTGGTATGCTTGAAGTTGCCCCAGAGGCTTCTTACACTATCTTCATATTTTTGGATTCTTTTTTCTTTTTGCTCTTCTAGTTGGGTGTTTTTTGCTTCCTCATTTTTCAAATCATTGATTTGATTCTTGGGATCCACTAGTCTACTATTGAATCCCTGTATATTATTCTTTATTTAAGTTGGTGTATGCTTAATTTTTGACTGGTCTTTTTCTAATTTTTTTTGGCATTCTCACTAAGATCTTTGAAAGTCTCACTAAGTCCCCTGGAGGTCTCTAGAAGATTGTTGAGTAACCTTATAACCTTGGTTTTGAACTCTATATCCAGTAGTTTCCATTTCTTTTATTTGTGACATATTTCTTTGTCCTGCATTTTGGCTGCTGCCCTGTGTTTGTTTCTATGTATTGGATAGAGCTGCTAAGTCTCCTTAGGTTGATAGAGTGGCATTATGTGGTAGGTGTCCTATAGGCCCCAGTGGCTCAGCCTCCCCGATCACCTGAGGTAGACACTCTAGGTCAGTGGTCGGCAAACTGTGGCTCGGCAACCCGCTGCTCGCGAGCCACATGTGCTCTTCCACAAAATACCGACTTCTGTGCATGGGCCACGAAGTTTCAATCACACTGTACTGCGCGCCCGCATGTAGTATTTTGTGGAAAAGCCACACTCAAGGGGCCAAAGAGCTGCATGTTGCTCGCAAGCTGCGGTTTGCCGACCATGGCTCTAGGTCAAGCATGTCAAACTCACAGCCCCCTGGCCATGAGATTGACATGCTTGCTCTATGTGCACCCCTTTGTGTGCTGTGTGCAGTCTTGTTGTAGCTGGCCTTAATTGCTGTTGGTGTTACTGGGAGGAATTGACCTCCAGGCCAATTGGCTGTGGGGACCACCTGTGATTATAGTGGAAGAGCTGCTGTGCAGGAGACACCCTTATGAAGCAGGATATGCTTCAATGGGGCTTTGGTGTTCACTGAGTCTGCCCCTTGAGTGAGACGCGTATGGAAGTGTAGAGTTATAATCTGGTATGGTCTGACACTGACCACTGACCACTGGCTCTTGGGTCTCCAGGGAAGTGTAAAGTCAACCACTGCCTGCGGCTACCCAACAGAAGCTACAGAGAGATCTGCAAATTCCTCCTCTTTTTATTGGGTTTGGAAGTGCCCAGATGAGGCCCAGCAGTGAAGCAAGGCAGGCTGGTTCTGGTGCCAGCCTTGGGCCTTTTATTGATAGGTTTGGGGTTCCCTGACCCAGCTGCAGCTTGTTCGAGAGATTTTGCCTGAGCCAGGACAGGTGATTCATATGCAAAAGCAGCTGCATAAGGTGGGGTTGTAAATTGGATGAGTCAGGGTCTTAGGGAATCACTAGAGTGGAGCAAACAGAAATGGTTGCCAGTCAGCACTGTGACCTGGAAGGTCCCAGCATAGGAACAATGACTTCTGTGAGCACCTCTGTCTGGGAGAAAGCTGCCCCTGAGTTCCTGCCCTGCTGCCATACAGTCCAGTTTTTCCTTGTGTGTGTCTGGGTCCCCCAGCCTTGCCCACCACTGGAGCTCAGAGGAAGCAGGACCTTGTAAGTTCATATTGTGGTGCCAACATTTCAAGAGGAGCAGCTGAGTCTCCAGTAGCCTCTGTGTCACTGAGCCCCAATCTGCACTGGTAGTTACGGGGACTTCTTTTCCCAGTTCTTGGACCCTGGGCTGGGCGTCTGGTATAGGGCTGGGACCCCTGGCTCCTCTGGGCGACCTCTGCAGAGACGATCTTCCTTCTGAATCCACTGAGCCAAACCGGTTTCGGCAAAGACGATCTTCCTTCTGATTAAAAAAGAGGCACATGTGGGTGCCGGACCAGCCTGTTCCATGCCTCTGCACCTCCTACCAGTCTCAGTGTGCTTTCTTCTTTACTTCTTTTTTTGTAGGACTTCCATTCAGCCAGGTTTCCAGTGGTTCTGTATTTTAGTTGTAATTTGGATGTGGCTGTGGGAGGCAGCGAGTACAGGCATTTGCCTACACTGCCATCTTGGTTCTCTGTCGAACCAGTTTATTGTTGATGGACTTTCAGCTTGTGTCTGGTGGGATTTTTTGTGGGTACCTATAATAAACACTAAATTGTCAGTCTTTTTCATTTTGCTTTATACACCGTTCCTGTTATTTTCTTAGGAAATCTTTTTATAAATGGAATGGGCAAAGAGGTATTCGTCATTTTAAAATTTGGTAAAATTGTCCATTATAAATTATTTTTGGAAAATAGTCTTTCTCATATTAAATCTTACAGTTTATATTATTAAGAAGAGAAAAAAAATGGCTGTTATAGCTTTGGAAAGGCTCTTCAGGTTTAAAAATGAGATTCAGCCCATTTAGGTTTCAGCTCTCATGAACAGGAAATACTGCCCAAAAATCTTGGGAGAGAACTTATTATAAAGGCACTGGGAGTTGACAGCTCTTGCAGGATATTTTTGGAGAAAGAAAAACAGAGGAAAATACTGAAAACCTGAGACAGGGACCAGTGTACCAGAGAACCTGCGTTTAGTGAAAAGAATCAAGAAACTACCTCTTGCATGTTTTCTTATGCTGTCATGGAAGTGAAATCCAGGGGAAAAAGCATTTGTTCTTCCTTTTCTTCCTCTCTCACTCCACCTCTCTGGTGGCACTTGAATAAAAGGCTTGGGGTGGCAGGAGTCCTTGCAGGCAGACAGGGGGTGTGTGGGGATAATAACGGGGCAGGAGCGGTAAAAAAAGGCATTGCTCTTCTCCAATCCCAGCTTGTACTGCACAGGGCCTGGATAGGGACCTCGCTCCTGAAAGTAAGGGCCACACGGGGCTGTCATTGCGTGGAGTGCCATGCACGAACAACATGGCGTCGGAGCTGTAATTCTTTACCTAGAAATCGCCGTCATTGATAGGTCAACAAAACAGTCATAACCTGTGAGATTTGGCCTGCTCCTTTATGAGGGTGTCAGGAGATCAGTTACATTTGAAGTCGACCTTGATATTTTTGTTCAGAACCAGTTTTCTGCTCTTTCTGGTTCCTTACTTCTTTGCTCGTGGCCACCTGCCAGGTAAACTGCCCACAGACAGTTTGAATCATCCTTGGAGTTCTGCCTTAGGAGAACATCAAGACATTGAGCAGCTCGCTCACCAGCCTTCATGGGAAACTTCTCCTTGAAATACACTTGAGCACATTGAATGTGCAGGGCTGGCTGTGGTTTTGCTAGAAATATGACTGGATTGGCAGCCAGTCCATTAGACTCTGCCATTGTGGTCTTAAGGCAAGGAATCAAACGTAGTGACATATGTTTTCATTTTTAATTAATTAAAATGAAATAATTAATTAATTAATTATTGAGGTCCTGTTATGTACCACCCCCACGCCTTAGGCACTTGGGATAAAACAATCTAATAGAAATCTCAGGCTCATGGAGCTTAAACTGTAGTGGGGAAGAGAGATAATAAGACTAAATAAAAATATCTGATATGCCCGGTAGCTAAGAAAAAAGAATAAAACAGGTTTTTGGAGGAAATGTGTTAGGGGTCAGAAGAGATGAAATTGAGACTAGGCAGCCATGAAAGAAGGTGACTATTGAAGTAAAGCCCTGAAGGAAGTTGCCTCTTGCTAATGGTCTTTTAAAGCAGATAATTTATCACTGAAATGGAATGAAGTCAAGAATATTATGTAGGCAGTTGGTAAATGAGATAAAATGTACAAAGTGTTCTGTAAACTGTAAAGTGACTCTATGATGAAATTTCTTCTCTAGGTCTAGTGTTTCATGAAATTTCTGTTCTCAATTTTCAAGTCTCAAATTGAGTTAGTGTCCAAGATAGTGGTTCTTAAAGTGTGGTCTCTGGACCAGGAACATTGCCAGGGAACTTGTTAAAAAATGTAAATTCTAGACCCCTATATGGACCTACTGAATCATAAATTCTGGAGTTGGGACCCAGTCAATCTATGTTTTAACAAACTCACAGGTGACTCTGAGGCACCCTTAACATGTGCAAACTGCTTGTCTAGAATAACTTCTATATTTTAAAGTATCTCCTTGGTTAGACTTTAACCACTTTAGGAGGGGTTATTAAAACTTCTGATGTAACCAAGCAGAAGAACCAAGGTCTTACCACATTTTAATGTGTGATATTTTAGATGTCTTTGAAAGGTATGAGTTTTTCAGGCATTGGCAGTAATTTAGAATGTGTATATCACTTCCACTTCCTTCTGAGTTTTGTCTTCTTTTTTTCCTTTCCCAATTTGAGATTGATAATTCATTTTTTAAAAGCACATAAGTTAAAATGTTGTAAGTTTCATTTTCTACGACTTTCAAAGTATTGAATTATACTTTATAATGATGGAATTAATATTTTTAGAGAAGTTTCAAAACAATTTATATTTATATGGAGACTTTAAGACATTGGATTTGTATTTAGTGAAGGAAGTTTATTGGAAGAGGAAAATTATTCTGTAATCATTATTGTTGGGATATGGTTATTTACATGCAATGTAAAAGTAGCTGTAAAACATATCTATGTTTCTTAAGTCTTGTGAAAATAAGTAATTATTACAGTCTATATCAGGGCTCTCCATTACTTCGCCTATGAAGGCACACATAGATATGAAAATGTTTGTACAGTCCACTAGGGCAAATGGAGAAGGTAGCTCAAGGCGGCCCAGTGTGGTTCCGGTCTCTGGCCCCACCTTATGGTCCCTCAAGGAAAGAGAGAGGATGGTCAATATCTCCACACACCTGTAACTTTTCCCAGGTCACTAGTGTCTAGTATACCTAGTGAGTCTTAGCTCTATATAAAAACAGTTATTTCATGAAATTATTTTAAATATTCGAATGAAACTTAACTTTCAATCTTACTTTGGAGGGCAATATTTTAAAACATTCTGCAAAAACACTCTTTTCACATGGCCAAGGGTATGGTGATTACATTGGTAGCCATCTACTTGGTGAATAAAACTTTTAAAATTAAAACCTCCACAAATAGTTCATAAATGAAAAACCACTGGAAATAGTATGTATATATTATAATGAAGCAAATATTAATGATTCTAAAGTTGTCAATGAAATATAAATTACATATAAACTTGTATATATACTCTTCTCTGATTTTGGACTCTTTAGTAGTCTATGTGTATTCATTTCTACAAGTAACATTTAAAAATCTTGTAGTTAATTTCAGAAAAATCCTGTTGTCAAAAGGAATCTACCTGAACGTGCTGGAGTTGATGAAGAGGCATCTACACTCCCCTGAAGTGGCTGAAAGTGGCTGCAAAATGCTGAACCATCTTTTTGAAGGAAGGTAATATAGATTCATAAACTTATGCAGAATATGTAATATTGGATCAGGTAGAATAGAAATATTTCAAGCATATTTCTAAGAATGAAAAAAAAATAAGGCATTTGATAATTGAAACATTGTGTAATATATCATATCAAGATATCACAGACTTATCTGAATATTGAAAAGGATGGTGGAGATTGTAGAAATATGTTGAAGGTTTGCATCTGTGCTTCATGCTTGGTGCTGACTACGGTTTTCAAAGTGGCAATTATAAAGCACATAACCTCAAATAGTTTTTCAAATTATTGTATATGAAAGGTATAAAAGTTCAGATCAGGATATGGCTTCTAATTGTTGATTTTTCACAACTAACTTTTATGGTTGTCCCTTCATTTAAATTAACTTTGTCTTTTCCTGTTTATTCCTTAGCTGGGAAACTTTTATTCACAGCTAGTCCAAGTCCAGAGATGGCAAGACTAGCTGGCTGGTTAGAGGCACAGCAGAGACCAGATCTGGGGTGGGTGATGGGGCTACAGGATACGCTCAGGGCCTTTTTACATTTATGCCAAAGAATGTGAGGTAACTTTGTCATAGTCTGAGTAAATTTCAAACAAAAATAGGCTGTATAGAACGCTGTCATGCATAATAAGAAAACTGCATGGCACAGATGTTGCACTGAAAACTGATTTCGTGTCCTGGTTTTCCTACTAATCTGAGCCAACTGCAGAGATGTCAAGACTAGCTGGCTGGTTAGAGGCACAGCAGAGACCAGATCTGGGGTGGTGATGGGGCTACAGGATACGCTCAGGGCCTTTTTACATTTATGCCAAAGAATGTGAGGTAACTTTGTCATAGTCTGAGTAAATTTCAAACAAAAATAGGCTGTATAGAACTCTGTCATGCATAATAGGAAAACTGCATGGCACAGAAAACTGATTTCGTGTCCTGGTTGTCCTACTAATCTGAGCCAACTGTTTTTGCCTCTAAATTTCAGGTGCCTCATTAGTAAAGAGGTATAACAATAATCTCATCAGTTGTACGTTTAGAGTGTAAGAATTAAATGAATTAATTTAAAGAAAGGGAATAGGATAATTCCTGCCAGATCTGGGGTGCAATAAATCATAATTATTATTAATATTGTTATTAAATATGAATAAATGGAATGCATACAGCATGAGGAATTGTATATTGCACATCTATAGATGTAAAAGGAATAGAATTACATTGTTTTCTTCATCAGCCCAGCTAATCTATTTGTGTCTATATATGTCATATCTTTGAGTTGAATTTCTCTTATTTAAAAGTTGCTCTTGAATATTTAAATGAAGTTTATCATAGATAGTGATTTTCATGGTCCTGCAAGTGTGTGAATCTTTATAAATGAGGTGAAAACACAGTGGAGTTAACCTACAGTTTAAGATTTTGTAGATTCTGGGCAATTCGTGTTTCTGGCTATTTGCTCATATATAATATGCATACAGTTTCCAGTCCTGGAGATTAAGAGTTAACTGGCAACACACCTATGCTGAAAATTCATTGTGTAGTTGGGGAGACTGATATGTCAACAGATAATCACATACTGTGTGATAATGCAATGGCAGTGATGTGTAAGAGGCATAGTGGTAAGAACCCAGCTGGGATTGCCCAATGAGGGAAGGTACAAAGAGGGGATGTGTTTAAACTGGAACTTTAAGGTGGAAAAGAGGGACTGTATTTCAATGACCATAGAACCATGCAAAGTGAGGATATGGTTCTTAGTGAATACTAGTTGGTCATAAAAAAGAATGAAATTTTACCATCTGCACCACCATGGATGGACATAGACTAGGATATACTCTGCCATTGTGGTCTTAAGGCAAGGAATCAAACGTAGTGACATATGTTTTCATTTTTAATTAATTAAAATGAAATAATTAATTATTGAGGTCCTGTTATGTACCACCCCACGCCTTAGGTACTTGGGATAAAACAATTTAATAGAAATCTCAGGCTCATGGAGCTTAAACTGTAGTGGGGAAGA